GGTGATCGAGGAAGTCACTGCCAAGCAACTCGAACGGCTCCTCAACGAGAAGGACTTTGTTGCCGTGTATTGGTGTAAGTGTTCTACCACTCGTGTAACGATCCTTCGATCGTTTGATCTTATCACAAATTATAGTGCGATCTTGAATTACAAACAAGCCCTCTATCTATCTAGAGCAGGGTCGAACGCGACAACAGGTACGACGCAACTCTTAAATTTATGATACGCGGATGAAACATTTCAAATATAAATGTCTACGAAAGAACTTTTGTTTATCCTTTTCAAAAATGTTACGTTTCTGACATAAAAAATTTTCACATGTCAATCATTCCAACTAATGGATGTTAAGATGATCTCTCTCGACGACATAAATATATTTTTTTTATCTCCACATGTCCGATGATGGATTTTCGAGATTCTTAAATCAAAACTTAATTCGAAACTTCATTTTTCTCAAAATGATACTCATGAAATAATGCGAACATTTAATTGTCTTATTTTTTATTTGAGCAATTATATACATACTTGCATAGGAAAAAATCATGCGTATGTATTTCATAACGTATAAAAATTGTAATGAGAATTTTTCTACGAGTGAATAATAAGTATAAATGCCACGACTGCTATGCTCGGTGGAATATATATAATATATAAATGCTTCATTTAAACACATATATAAGAAAATGATATTTATAAAATGATTTATGTAAAATGCACGCAACAGTGATAAATGGATTGATAAACATGAAAGGTATCAGCAAAGCGAGATGTTGAAGAAATTTTAGCTTGGAACGTCATATTGAAATATCCGTAAATCATTAATATAAATTCTTTACAAAGTTTTCTAAGAATGAAAAAAGTAGAGCTACTGAATTATTGGCTTTAAATAGAGCAATATTTTAAATTTCTATCTTCGTAAAACTATATTACTCTACCACCTCTACATGGTTTTTGTGTGGTTTTACGATTTTTTTCATTTCTTATCACATTAGGCTCATTTATTTTGGTTAATCGGAATAATAAAAATGTATTAAAATACTATTCGAATTCTTGTTAACATATTTATTATATAACGCGAGTGTGGGTGTTGATGAAAGCTACAGTTAGAGTTACGGAACACTGTTCGCCATTAAGACTGTTCTATATGCAGCAAGAGAAATAATAATTTTTTAGTATGATCGCGGAAAATTATTTATTTATAAATAGTTATCATTTTCATTTATACGTTTTTATCTTTAAGAACAAATATTAAAAATTTACCGCATAAAATATATCGGATGATATTGATAAAAAGTGTCGTACACTGCATTTTTTGGGAAAAAATGCGACAGTTTTTTGTTCAAAACATATATTAGAATTTATATTGCTTCCAAAAAATAAAGTTTTAAGCTTACGTATTAATTTAATATTCTTTTCAATTCTATCTCTTTCTTTCTCTCTCTCTTCAGAAAGATGATTGTGTGACTAAGCCTTCTGTAAAGTTATAGTTCACGATACTTTAATCGATATACACGTTTTACGAACGATAGTTCTACTGCCGCAAATTACCCTCACGTGAGAATTAACAGGTACTAAATCTACTTCTTCTGCCAAGTGCTACGACCGCTCAGTAGGACAGCCTGTCTCGAGGTGGCCCCCCGAGTTTGCTAATCTAGCAACCTAATGCCGCGCGTGAAACGCTTCATTTAATTTAAGCAGTAGACGACCTTTCTCGCCAATCATCCGTAGAAGAATATCTAAATTAATTGGACAATTTTGTTTCTTTTTTAAATGTATTGAGATATTGAATTGCACTATATGCTGAATATACCGAAGGTCACATCTCGCGTGGCAACCCTCCAAAATGCATCCTTGTGTATGCATTTCGGAGCTCCCCAAAGATAATTGATGTAACACAATCCTTCCTTTTTTCAATAGGCGAGACAAGTATCGATCTCCTTACATTTTTTCATAAGATAAATATAGAATTACACATCTGTGAAATCCAATACGTAAATGTACGTGTGTATGTGTGTCAATACATCCGATATGTCCCTTATGGTATTTAAAAATATATTCACAGGGTGAACTTCAGGATGTTTTAAAAAGACGCATTTGTATACATCTCCGGATTTCGTGATAGGAGGGAGACGAATTATGAGTCTTTGCTTGTTAGAGCAATCCAGGAAACACATATAGCGAGAACTGACTCATTAGTGTGACGCATGGCGAGATGCGGAAGTGCACGAGCGACGATCACAGAGATTTAACCATGATCTGATTTGTCGAATTCACTTAAGACTCGCGTGTAATATTAATTTTGAATTAATTCAATTTATATTAAATAAATATAATAATTCATATTAAAATAAATGTAATAATATTTTTCAACATGTCAAACGTTGTACAATTAAATGTCTGATACATTAATATATGATTTTGAGCGAGACAATTAATTTTGCTAGATTGCTAAGGATTAATACACTATATTTGTATATTATATTAGAATTTTACACACCTCTCGGAGAAATCGACAATCGTGACTTCGAAAAGATGATAAATGGAAACTGGAAAGGAACGAAGGACATTATGGAAATAATGAGTTTGCAAGTGCATATCTCGCAGAGAATAGGTTTTCCGGAGCGAGATAAAATTTCTGACAACCTGTTCGCGCGCTTGCATTGCATGTCGCCTGAGAGCTCGCATACTTACCGTGATTTTCTCTTGAATCATCTTTTCGTAATACCGAGTGATATAATCGACCCCAGATTTTCGGTCGCAAACGTACCAACATGCATCGTGCCACGAACGTGCGGTAAGCACGAGAAGTTTACTTTTACCGCGTCGACTCAAAATACATTGTCGCGAAATCCTATTTCACCGTAACTTTAGCCGCACGGAAACAAGATGAAGACAGGATTACATCCATAATCTTTTTAAGTTAATGCGCGCGGTGTATAGTAGAGACGTTTGTGGTGCAAAGTAAAAGGAAGTTCTTACTCAAGTAGAGACATCAAAATGACTCCAAAATGGAAGTCCAAAAGTCACTTTGACTTCTTGTTCCGCTTGGGTGTTCTTTAATGCTTTTTCCTCCGTGATTTTCCTTTTAACCTGGATTTAATAAGGACATTAAAGTGCAAAACGCGTCCTGAAATTCAAGATTGATCGACCGAACCGAAGGAAGATCGTCGAAAGATCCGTCCGTCTCTTAAACGCGCTGTAGCAAGGCTGGCGCTCCGGTGGACGCCACTTTTAGCGCACGTTAGAGTTATTTTTGCGCTTACCCCTCTCTTCTTCACGGCTATCGTCCCCGCTGAAAACATAATCCCAGCCGCGACGACCACCCTGCGCATTCGATAGATTGCCTTCAGCTAGCGACGTCGAGTAATGCGGACTTGTCGCCAGCAGCGCGTCGACTTCAATTTCCCTGAAGTTTTGCGAAATGATGCATAGAATCCTATCAGAGCTAACCAGGAGACCCCAGAGGATCCACGAGGGATCCCAGATGATGAGCTGAATCCCGGGCGCTGAACCTATTTCCAGATACCTGGCTCTGTCTATTCGACGCTGTCGTACTCGTACGAATGAAGCTTTTCTCTTTTCCAGGGTTTTATCAACCCCCGTTTACGTCAGCCTAAGCTAAGATGCTGAGGATCTTTCAAGTTACTCGTTTCACAAACATTAATCTATGAATTACTTCTTTCTATAAAAAAAAAGGAGAAGTTTTATATGATAAAAATTGAGATACGTAACGAAGCGATGATTTCATATAGAAAAGAAGATGTAAAATCTTGATGCGAGAATTTTTGGCGTAGAACGAGAAGGAAGGAAGGAAGGAGAATGATTATCGAGAGAGATGTACGATAGAATCGACTGGCGAAGCGTCGGAGGACCCAGACGACGAGCTCTCGCGTCGAACCTATTTCCAGCTGCGGCCGCGTCCTCGCGACTCATGTCGCTGTACACTCGTGTCGAATTCTTTTCTTCTGGGTTACCGTTTCGAGACTCGTATGTCCCTATCCTCTTCTCTTTATCTCGAATCGACGACTTCTTTGTTGTCACCAGCAGGTGTAACGAAAAGAGCTTCCTCACATAGCGTAATGCCATTATATCGCCACTTTAACACACTTCTGAAATATTTTTAATAAATACGAAAGAGATATGGCTAGTACATCTGTTCTTAAAAAATCTGATATTCACGATACTAAGTAATAATTGACTATATGAAATTAGCAGACGTAGGGTAAATAAAATAATTTCCATAGTAAAAAGTTATTATATTAAATGAACAGTTTTGTAGTATGTATAAATTTAGCTGGATATAGATTTGAAAATAATCTTCTTTGGGCCACCAAAATAATTATATGGGACGCTCAAATTAATTATTAGAATGTCAATATTTTCTTGCAGTATTGTCATCAACGCTTAAACGTTCTATGTTACTTTTATGATCCAACAAAATTATTTTCAGATTTGTGTCCGGCTAAATTTTTGGATACTTTAGCAAAATAGTTTTTTCCATATATTTTATGGCAGTTACTCGATGAGAGTGATATTCGGCGCGATGCCTCATTCGTGTAATAATAACACCGAAAACAGTATCGGCATCTTGAGAGCCCTAGACATCCTTTCGGCCAGAAATCTAAAATTACTCATATCCACTGTGCGGGAGAATGCTTTTTCTGCCTTTGGGCGATTCAAATTGGACGATAAACAAGCAAATATTTTTCTCCAAGTTCTCCTTTTTTTGTAGTTATGCATAATATTGAGATATGTGTATTTATGTAAAGTTATAATAACATTAAGATGTGTGTATTTATATAAGGTTTCAATGCCGAAGACCATTATAACAATAATGGTCTTCGAGATATCAGATTTCTTAGTTTGTGCGAATTTCAAAATGTCACGATGTCTTCAAAGCGGTGTAAACATTTTAGACATTTTAAACAGCTCAAGCTAAAGAATTTCATGACCACTTCGTTTAAATAACTACGTTATTCACCATTTACGTACAGTTAAATAGACTTTTAAATAAGGTATTTAAATTTAATATTTTGCTTTAATGTGACTAATTAAAAATTTTTTATACAAATCA